GGTCATGATCTCGTGGTTCGTGGGTTTGAGCCGCGCTTCGGGCTCTGTGCTGACAGCTAGCTCAGAGTCTGGAGTCTGTCTTTGGATTCTGTGTCTCCCTCTCTCTCTGACCCTGCCCTGCTCACGCAGTCTCTCTCTCTCAAAAATAAATAAAACATTAAAAAATTTTTTAAAATAATAAATAAAATTACTATTAAAAATTTTTTTAACGTTTATTCATTTTTGAGAGAGAGAGAAAAAGAGAGAGCCCACGCATGCATGTGGGAGAGGCAGAGAGAGGAGGACACAGAACCCAAAGCAGACTCCAGGCTCTGAGCTGTCAGCACAGAGTCCAGCACAGGCCTCGAACCCACAAACTGCGAGATTATGACCTGAGCCAAAGTCAGACACTTAACCAACTGAGCCACTGAGGCCTCCCTAAAATTACTATTAATGCAAAATGCAGTAATAATTTAGGCTTCCTCTGGATAGGACTCATGCTTTTTAGATTATGCATTATAAGTAAGGAAGGATTCATAAAAGAAGATCCACTGCTGATTCTTCTAGACTCCCATTCCTCATTCCTTCCTATATCCAATGAGAATCCAAGTCCTATAAATTTCTAAATCTGTAAGCTCCTCAATACCTCTCTGGTCTGCCCACTGTTTGCATCACAACACCAGCCCATCCACAGCTCCTGTCCCCTCTCTGGGTCACTCCAGCAGCCTCCAGGCTGGTCTGCCCATATCCACTCTTGCCAGCCTACAATCTGTTTTCTACTCTGCAGGCAAATGCAAACCCAATATCCCAGCTGATGAGATCTTTCCAGTTGCTTCCCATTGTTCTTAGGGTGGAGATCAGATTCCCTAGTTTGGCCTACAAGGTGCCCCCCAGCCTGGTCACCAGTCTTTCCGGCCTCATTTCCTGTCACTCACCTTTTGTTCTCTGTGCTCCAGCAACCCCGCCCTTCCTCCTTCCCCTCTCCCACCCGGGCTTCCTACCACCTGCCTTTGCACTTGCTGTGCTCTGGCCTCACCCTTCTCCCATCCCCTCCTCCTGCATGGGCCCCATGCCCCTCTAGGTCTCTGCTTCATTTACACTGTAAGAGAAGCCTTCCTGACCCTGCTTGCTGCTCCCAACCCCCTATTTTCTGCTTTCAAAGGCTCCTTGTCATGGCTTGTATAATTGTTTGATTAACATTTCTCTTCTCCACTGAACTGTGGATGTTCTCTCCTCTGCTCTCCCTTATCCTCAGGGCCAGCAGCCCAGCACTGGGTGTATGTGTCAGCCTAATAAGTATTGCTGAATGAACGATGCTCTGAGTTAGAAAAGCATAAGGAATCGTCTTTGAATTGGTTGTATTAAGTCCTCTTAGGTGTAGAGTAGGGTTTTCAGAGTTTGTTCTTTAACTTACCAATTGGGTGAGATGCTAATAAGTTTTACTATAACAAGGATTTCATGGCCAAAAAATTTTTGGAAACCCCAAGTTTGATAGATTACCAGAGGACCTTGCAAAGCCTATTTAATATGTTAATGCACATTGTGAATCTTTAACAGGAAAGAATATGCTATGCCAGTTCCTAAGTTTGACTTTGGAAACACTCAGGGGGTTATAGGTGCAGGTTCAGTGTCAGACTTCGGGTTAAAAGCCATGTTATCTCACTTACGAGCTCTGTGACCTTGGACGAGTTACTTAAGGTGTCTGTTCTCAGTTCATCCATTATACAGGGGGATGATGACTGAATCTGCCTGTCGTGAGGATCACACACTTAGAATGGTGGGACTGTGTTGCTGTTCATTTTATAGCTTAAGACAAGTGTTCTCAGGGGCTGCCCTTTGGGAAATGCTGCTGTCAGCGAAAGAGCACTGGCCTGGAGACTGCAGTTCGCTCTGTGCCTGGGGCAAGACTCCAAAGCCTCTTTTGAGCAACACATTTTTCCACTGTGAACCCAGAGGATTGATTTTAGGTGAACTCCGTCTTTCCCGATTCAAATTTGGAAAGATGTAATTGATTCTAGGTGATCCCAGTTCAAACTTGGAAAGATTTAATTATTTTCTAACAAATTTTTTGCTTTTTGTTTTTATTTATTTTTGCTAGAGAGAGAGAGAGAGAGAGGCACAGAATCCGAAGCAGGCTCCAGGCTCTGAGCTGTCAGCACAGAGCTCAATGCGTGGCACAAACCCACAAACCATGAGATCATGACCTGAGCTGAAGTCAGATGCTTAACTGACTGAGCCACCCAGTCGCCCGAGATTTAATTATTTTCAAGTTGCTCAAACTAACAAAATATTCAAGGCCATCTAAGACCCAAGTGTGACATCATCAAAGACGAGATCATTTTTAACAGTTCTTGTTTAGACTAATTTGTCATTTTGAGGACTGATTGACATCTTTCTGAGTAGGTGCTGAAGCTTCATTTGGGAAAGGTATACTGTTCACTTGTGCCCACGTAACTGTGCTTTGGGTATCTTTAGGTCATCTGAACGACACCTACGGAGACTACAAGTACACATACTGGGCGTGCGGTGTGATCCTCATCATCGCAGGCATCTACCTCTTCATTGGTATGGGCATCAATTATCGACTTGTGGCGGAAGAACAGAAAGCAGAGAAGCAACAGAAAAAGGAAGGGAAAGAGAAGCCAAAAGAAGTTATTAAAGCAGCAGACTCTAGAGGCTAGAGAGGCATGTGAGGCCCCAAAGAGGAGGAACATCCATTCTGAACCATGGATAGCCAGAGGAGCTTCGGACCAAAAACACCTGAAAAATCCTACCGAATCTGGTTCTATTGGCACTTCTCACCATTGCCAGTGGGCGTTTGTGTGGAAGTCATACCAGGTGCCCACTGATGGAATTTTTGTTTCATTCCCTCACAGCAGTCATAGTGCATATGTCACAGCCTTTGGGGCCAGGGGACTTACAAAAGATAACAGATGGAAATAGCTTTTATTTGAAGTCATCTTTGTTAAGGTATACTTCACATACAATAATAAATCTCTTTTGTAAGACTAAAGTTTGATGAATTTTGACAAGGCATCTAGATAAATAACTACCACCCCAATATAGAACATGTTGAACAGCCACAGTAATTCCCTCTCGCCCCTCTGCGGTCCATTCCTTCCCTTCCCTACATCCCCTGGCAACCACCAATCTGATTTCTGTCCCCTATAATTTTGCTTTTCCAGAATGGAATAAATGAAATCACATAGTATGGTAGCTGGCATAATAAGAAATATATATTTGATCTTTGTCCCTAGTTTCTGGTACAGAGCCCCTAAAACCCTTGGATTTCTGGGTGATGCGTGTTTTCTGCATTCTAGTCAGATAACTGGTGTCTGGAATCCCCTTAGGTATCTTCAAGATGAGGGACTGGTCTCCAAAGAGACCAAGGCTTTGATCAGAGGGTTGGAACTTTCAGCCGCTCTCCCATGACCCGTGGGGAGAGGGGAGGGACTGGAAGTTGAGTTCAATTACTAATAGCCACTGATTTAATCAATCATACGTAATGAAATCTCCATAAAAACTCCTAAACTTCTAGGCTTAGAGAGCTTCCTTGTTGGTGAATACATTGACGGGCTGGTGTTGGGAGGGTAAGATGCTCAGACAAGGCACAGAATCTCCAGCCACGCCTCCCCACCATCCCTCGTCCATTGTGTCGTATGCATCTCTTCCATTTAGCTGTTCCTGAGTCGTGTCCTTTAGAAATAAATCAATAAACATAAGCAAAGTGTTTCCCTGAGTTCTGTGATCCATTCTAGCAAATTACCAAAGCTGAGAAAAGACTTGTGGGAACTCCCAACTTACAGCTAGTGGGTCAGAGGCACAGGTAACAACCTGAGACTTGTGGCTGGAATCTGAAGTAAAGGCAGCCTTGTGGGACTGAGCCTTTAAGCCTGTGGAATTTGACACTAACTCTGGGTACTTCGTGTCAGCATTCAAATGAACTGTAGGACCTAGATTAGAGTCTGGAGAATTGTTGAGAAAATGGTCATTGTGGGAAAAAAATGAATGTCAGAAGTGTTGTGAGTAACAGAGTAACCTTCTGTGTCTGGCTTCTCTATATAACATAATGTTTTATGATTCATCCATGTCATTGCATTTATACATAGTTCACTGCTTTTTATTGCGAGTAACATTTCTTGGTGTGAATGTACCATAATTTGGATATCTGTTCACCAGTTGATGGACTTCATTTTTTCCCCCCATTTTTTGGCTATTATAACTAAAACTTCTATAAACATTCACTCAGAGGTCTGTGTAGATATATGCTTTCATTTCTCTTGGGGAATATGCCCAGCATTGGAGTTGCTGGGTCATGTGGTGAGTTCATGTTTAAGTTTTAAGAAACTCAAACTATTGTTGAATTGGCCAAACCATTTTGGAATCCATCTAGCAAAGTATGAGAGATGTAGTTATTCTGTATCCTTGGCAGCACCTGGCATTGTCAGGCTTTTTACTTTTAATTTCTTCTACAACTAGCAATGTTGACCATACTTTCTTTTTTTTAATTTTTTTTAATGCTTATTTATTTTTGAGACAGAGACAGAGCATGAGCAGGGGAGGGACAGAGAGGGAGACACAGAATCTGAAGCAGACTCCAGGCTCTGAGCTGTCAGCACAGACCCTAACATGAGGCTCAAACCCACAAACCATGAGATCATGACCTGAGCCAAAGCCAGACACTTAACCAACTGAGCCACCCAGGTGCCCCATTATTGACCATATTTTCATTTGCTTGGTCATCTGTATATTTTTAGTAAAGCCTTGTTTTTTAATCCAGACATTTAACAGAGTCTTAAGGCACTTTACTTAAGTGACTTACTTGTTATGATGAGCACTGGATATTATATGTCAGTGATGAATCACTAAATTCTACTCCTGAAACTAATATTACACTACACGTTAACTAACTAGAATTTAAATTAAAAATTTAGTTCTGGGTTTTTATCTTTCAAACTCTTCAGGTGACTTTTCCTGACACATCTGACAGTGAAATGGGCACTATATTTGAAAATCCTTAGATCCTTTTGTAGTTCATAAGCGTCATAATTGGGTGTTCAAGCCATTGTGTGACATGTGCCATCCTTAAACCTTGTTACAATGCCAGCACATTATCTGTCTGATGTGAAAAAAGAGAATCCTTAAATGCATGGTAATGTTAATTTAAATAGACAGTTATGAAGTCTAATAAGATGGAAATATCCTTATGTTATAAGCATGATACAACATTAAATGAAAAAAGCACAACACAAACTGGTTAGATAAGTATATATAATGTACTTTTAGGGGAAGGGGGGAAGGGAATGCACACAAAATTCCAACCATACTTGTTTTAGAATGGTGACTTTTCCTATATTTGTTTTCCTTAATGTGAATGTGATTGCTACCCTTTCACTAATACAGGAAAAATGAGTAGATTTGAAAGAGAAGAGTTCTGATAGGAGAAACTTGTCTTCTATGAAAATAAATCTAATGATTACCATAAGAGATTGATTGATTGCTTCTCGCTTCTTTAAGAGTTGGAGTCTGGTGAGAGGGAGGTAAATATGACATTGAACTTAAAAGCACAAAATAGAAATAGCCTCAAGTCATAAGGCTATTTTGCTGGTATAGGACAGAAGCTATGGCCTGCAGAGTCCACTATCCGTCAGCCACCAGTGCCACCTTCCTGGAGACAGTGCTCCTGAGGACAGTATTTTTGTGGTTCCCCTTCTGATCATCATCCATCTTTAAGTGAATGTTCAACTCAGAAAGCCTGTGCAACCAGCTCTTAACAGGTCACAGAGTTACAGTTGTTCTAGAACATCATTTCACTGAGATTGGCGTCAGAAAAAATACAGTATGACAAAAAGGGTAATATTGGCCTAAGGAAGAAGTTGACTGTCAACCTTTCCACACATTCATTCAATAGATATTGTTCATACTTAACCTGGGCCAGTTCTAAGCACTGTTGTAGGCATTGAAGATTCTTTTTATTAAAATACTAGAAAAATTTTTTAATGTTTATTTTTGAGAGTGAGAGAGACAGAGTGCAAGTGGGGAGGGGTGGAGAGAGAGAGGGAAACACAGAATCCAAAGCAGGCTCAAGACCTGATGTGGGGCTCAAACCCACAAACCGTGAGATCATGACCTGAGCCAAAGTCGGATGCTCAACCCATTGAGCCACCCAGATTATTTAGGGAGCAAAACATAACGGTCTTTCATGGTTCTTCCTTCCTAGTAGGGGAGATAGACAGTGAAGAGTTAAGTAATAAGGAAAACAGCACTCTAAAGAATAGAGCAATTGATATAAGATCAGCCTTCCTTAGTTCATTTATCTAAATAGCACTTTTTTGGAGGGGTTCCTGGCTGTCTCAGTCATTTGAGCATGCAACTCTTGATCTCAGGATTGTGAGTTCAAGTCCCAGGTTGGGCATGGAGCCTACTTTAAAAAAATAATAAAAACTTAAAAACCCAGCATTTTTTTGGAGTTTCTTCTATGTGCCTATTTGCTGAACAGAGGAGATATAACAGTGAAGAAAATTTGGTTCCTGGCACCCACAACTTCTCATCTACTGGGGAGGATTGTATAGTAAGTGCTGAGATGGGGCAGACATAGAAAAGCAGCTATCTCCATCTTGGGAGGACCTAAAAAGTCTAAAAGTGTATATATACATATATATATTATAGTACATATATACATGTATATATACAATATATAATAAATACATTTATTATATAATATATAAGTGTGTGTATATATATAAGGTTTATTTATTTATTTATTTATTTTAATAATCTCTACACCCTACATGGGGCTCAAACTGACAACACCAAGATCAAGAGTAGCATGCTCCGCTAACTGAGCCATCCAGGTGCCCTGTTCATTTATTGTATTCCTTAAATTCCAGATATGAGTGAAATCATATGGTATTTGTCTTTCTCTGACTTATTTCACTTAGCATTATACTCTCTAGATCCATCCATGTTGTTGCAAATGGCAAGATTTCGTTCTTTTTATGGCTGAGTAATATTCCTGTGTGTGTGTGTGTGTGTGTGTGTGTGTGTGTGTGTGTTTGTCCTATGTTTGGCTATTGTAGATAATGCTGCAATAAACATAGGGATGAGGAATATATCTTTTTGAATTAGTATTTTCATATTCTTTGGGTAAGTACCCAGTAGTGGAATTATTGGATCATACAGTCATTCTATTTTTAATTTTATGAGGAAACTCCATACTGTTTTCCATAGTGGGTGAACCAGTTTGCATTCTCACCAACAATGCACAATTGTTTCCTTTTCTCCAAATCCTCGCCAGCACTCCTTTCTTGTGTTTTTTATTATAGCCATTCTTATAGATGTAAGGTGACTTCTCTTGTGGTTTTGACTGGCATTTGCCTGATGATTACAGTTGTTGAACACCTTTTTATGTGTCTGTTGGCCACCTATATGTCTTCTTCAGAGAAATATCTGTTCATATCTTCTACCCATTTTTAAAAATTTTTTAAATGTTTAGTTATTTTTGATAGAGAGAGAGAGCATGAGCAGGGGAGGAGCAGAGAGAGAAAGGGAGGGAGACACAGAATCCAAAGCAGGCTCCAGGCTCTGAGCTGTCAGCACAGAGCCCAACGCAGGGCTCGAACCCATGAACTGTGAGAGAATGACCTGAGCCGAAGATGGATGCTCAACCAACTGAGCCACCCAGGCGCCCCTCTTCTACCCATTTTTAAATTATATTATTTGAGGGGCGCCTGGGTGGCTTAGTCGGTTAAGCATCCGACTTTCGCTTAGGTCATGATCTCGCGGTTCGTGGGTTTGAGCCCCGCGTCGGGCTCTGTGCTGACTGCCAGCTCAGAGCCTGGACCCTGTTTCAGTCTGTGACTCCCTCTCTCTCTGACCCTCCCCTGCTCACTCTGTCTCTCTCTCTCTCTCTCTCCTAGAAATAAAAAAAAAAATAAAATAAAAATAAAATAAAATTTAAAAAAATTATATTATTTGAGGGGGTTTGGTGTTAAGTTGTATAAGTTCTTTATATATTTTGGATACTAATCCTTTATCGTAAATATCATTTGCAAATATCTTCTCCCATTAGATAGTTTGTCTTTTTGTTTTGTTGACGGTTTCTCTTGCTGTGTGGCTTTTTATTTTGATGTGGTCCCAATAGTTTATTTTTGTTTTTGTTTCTCTTGCCTCGGGAGACTTATCTAGAAAAATATTGTTGTGGCTGATGTCAGAGAAATTACTGTCTGTGCTTTCTTCTAGGATTCTTATGATTTCAGGTCTTGTATTTAGGTCTTTAATCCATTTTGAGTTTATGGTTGTGTATGCTGTAAGAAAGTGCAATTTCACCCTTTGGCATGGAACTATCCAGTTCTCCTAACACCATTTGTTGAAGAGATGGTCTTTTTCCCATTGTATATTCTTGCCTCCTTTATCAAAGATTAATTGACCATATGATCATGGGTTTATTTCTGGGCTCTCTATTCTGTTCCTACAAAGCTCTTTTACATACAGTTTATCATCCAGTCCATGCCAAATCCCAGGGAAGTAGGTAAATGAGAAATGATGACCCCTCAGGATGCCGGGAATCCTCAGTCAGTGAAGTGTTGGACTTTGGCTCCGGCCATGATCTTGAGGTTCATGAGTTTGAGCCCACATCAGGCTCTGTGCTGACACCTCAGAGCCTGGAGCCTGCTTCAAATTCTATGTCTCCATCTCTGCCCCTCCCCTGCTTGTGCTCTGTCTCTCAAAAAATAAATAAACATTTAGAAAGAAAAGTAAAGAAAAAGAAATAATGACCCCTAGAAGCACACCTTGATATCCTGAATCGGGCCCCAGAACTAAAAAAGGGCATTAATGGAAAAAACTCGTCTGTAGTTTAATTAATAGGATTGTCCAATGTTAACTTCTAAGTTTTGACAAATATACTAAGATAATGAAAGAGGTTAACATCAGAGGAAGGTGGGTGAAGAGTCTCTAGGAATCCTGTGCTAATTTTCTGTAAACCTAAAATTCCAAAATAAAAAGTCAAAAAACAAAAAAAAGATCACAACCCTGACTCCCTACCTGGGCCTTTGTCCTACCAGGTCATCTACTATCAGAAGAGGGCATTGGGGCGCCTGGGTGGCTTAGTCGGTTAAGCGTCCGACTTTCACTTAGGTCATATCTCGCGGTTCGTGGGTTCGAGCCCCGCGTCGGGCTCTGTGCTGACTGCCAGCTCAGAGCCTGGAGCCTGTTTCAGTCTGTGACTGCCTGTCTCTTTGACCCTCCCTTGCTCACGCTCTCTCTCTCTCTCTCCTAGAAATAAATAAAAAACATTAAAAAAAAAAAAAGAAGAAGAAGAAGGAGAGGGCAAAGCAAGAGCATTACAGCTCACAGGCTAGAGCCAAAGGTAGTGCTGGATGGAAGCTCTGAAAACAATCAAGAAAGGAAGAGGCTGAATCTTGGGTAGTCTTGAAGGGTGAACAATGGCCAAACCAATCATTTGGTCTTACCCCAAAAAGAGTAAGAAAATTCCTGGTCCCCAAAGAACTCACAATCTGATTTATAATCCTTTTCCTCACCATTGGAATTCATAATGTGTTTTCTTCATTTGCGGATTTCTTTTGCTAATATTCTTTGTTGTTTCAAGAATTAAAAAAGCTTGCATTTGCGAGCTTAACTCCAGCTGTGTCCAGGGAGGAAGTAGCAGCAGCCATTAAGAAGCGAGCAGGGAAAGTGGGCTGGGCTTACCCAGCTCAGTGTGCTAATAATCTATATGTGTATAATTAAGAGAGTTCACGCTGGGGTGTTTCTCTCTTGTTGCTGTGTTTTGTTCTCTGTGCCCTCCCACCCTTGCTTCTTTCTTCCTCACTTTGTTTTTGTTTTTGTTTTTTTTAAGAAAGAAAAGGGCCTGACTGCTTTACTGACTGTAATTCTGAATGCTTCTTACATTTGAAGCTGTAAAACATTTAGGAATACCTGCTACTCCAGTCCTAGAACTGGATAAATTCCAAGTGTTATCCACTTCCTCAGATGCTAAGGAGAAGCAGAAGCAAGGAAGATGTGGGCCTGTGGGGTGGAAANGGGGGGGGGGGGGGGGGGGGGGGGGGGGGGGGGGGGGGGGGGGGGGTAGTTTTCTGAGTCTTCTACGACTCTCAGCCTTGG